CATGATCGGAGTCCAAGCAGGTATTCTAGAATGAGCGGCAGTTTCCTATCAAGCCTCTCAAATGATGGCTGACCGTAATGTGGTCTATTTGAGCCCATCGTTTGTTTGGTGCAGGGGGTCACCAAGTTAGACGATATTTCTCTTTATGCTTAAAATTAGTGCTTGCTAGAAATAAACGATTGTCTGAGCACAGTTGTAGCAGACGGCCACCATCACTTGTTCGCTAAACCAGAATACCATACCAGCACATAGGCAACTGTTAACAGGAATTCATCCTAAAAGTGTTTGTTCTACCCTCATACTTAGTGCTGTTTCTACACCAACCAGCCCGCGAGAACTAGCCATCAGGCCGCCAGATAAACGGAAAATGTATCTCGTCGGCTCCTCTTATAGGTTAGGTGACATCAAGTGAATGACCACACCAGGATCCCGTATGTGCTTCGGAGACAGCATACATCAACAGTACGAGATTCTAGGGTCTTAGCCAAGAAGGCCTGCTGGTTGACTTGACATAGGGTACATACGCTGAAGGCTCCAATGTGTAGTTTGGAGCGAGGTTTCAGTAAATCTGGGACAGTGTTTCACGCACTAGAATTGTTGGCCATGGTGACACTTGAGGAGGAATTCGAAGAAAGAAGTTTGGAGTTAATAGTCAAGGTAGGAGGAATAATAGGAACCGAAGAGGGAAATTGATTATGAATCCAATGGTCTTAAGTGCTGTTAGAGGTATGAGGGCAGTTACGACTTCCCGGTTGTCCACACCGTGGAGGTCCTTCTAGAGGTACGTGAAAGGGAAATAGGGTTAGAGTTGGTCTTAGTGACCCGTGAGCGTGACCGCAGTGCCCAAGTGGTAACCGCTTGAGGCCAGTCACAATAGGAGATAAACTAAACTTCAACACCGTAGGTCAGTAGAAACAAACATTAATCACTGCACTACACCTCACTTCCCCATCATCCTTTTCGTCGAGATAAGCATTGAGTGCTCGATCCACTTCCTACTGATGCGCCTGAAAAACATGGTAATATAACATAGACCTGCAGCTCAATATGGTGCTTTATTCTCTGAACTAAATGGTTTAGTGGAAGCTTCCCAATCGAACCGAGAGAACAGCACATCATAGTAATGTTGGAAAGAGCCCTGGTTCTGAGTCCGTACGTGAGACACAGATGAGAGTGTACCACCGACAACCGATTATGAATAAATCGGTGTATCAGGGTTAGTCATAGTGCATTGAAAACTCAACAGTAACAACGTGAATTTTGACACGACTTAGAATGCTAATGGTAAATTTCAAAGATTACCACCGTTCCTTAATCGGGCTAACCAACCGCGACTGAATTCCTTACTAGTCTCAGTCAAAGCCAACTGGTGAAACTGTTATCAGCCAAATGGAGAGAAACATTTAGCCATCAGTTTCTAAACACTAATTTCATTAAACAGCTCGTGCCTATACTTTCCGCTTTACATTGACACCATTAACTTAAGGGTTATAGTACGAACCAATTTTAAGGAAACCTAAGACGACCTTTTGAGTAACAGGTGTCCCGCAACCATAGAGAGCATAAACTTGGGGATATGCAACCATACACATATGGAAATCCAACTCTTAACCATCTAGAGAACATGAGTTTATGACTGAAATGGAATCTAGAACACGTGTGTGAAAGCCAACACTGATTGGATCGGGAGGTAGTGATTTTAGGGCCAGTCTCGGCCAATATCCACTGTTCATTGTGGTAGTCGGATTTCCATCTCTCTGCATTGTCAAATATACATATATGCTGAGATTCTTGTTGACTAAAGTGCTACTGCAGCCCGAAAACCACTTCAAAAGTTGTAAAAACAAGAACATGTAACAGCTTTTGGGACTTTAGTGGAACCTAAGGACCCAATCGGACTTTTCAAGATGAGAGTTGCACGCTAAAAACAAGATATAAATTAGGGCAAAAAGTTCAATTAGTTTGAGAGAGTACACTAAACCGTTTCTAATAGACTTATCATTGATGATGTACTTATGAGGATAGCCGAATGAATCATACGCCTAATCAATTATTTTGGTTTTTAGAACACAAATGTAGGTAGGCACAGCCATAAAATAATCAAGGTTACATACTTCTAGGACAGAAATTGGAGATGAAGCACCGTTAGAAGGAAGCCTCATGAATAACTGTATTTGTATTAGTTACACCAAAAAATATAGTGACATATCGACAACCTATGGTGTATATAATAACTAAAAACTCATCTTTTTCGAACCATATTCTTCATGTTTAGTTCTAGTCATTGACACTAACACTACATGACTTCGACTTATTAGGTATTTTTGTTAATTTCAACTCGCCGTCCTGAAGTGGCATGGCAACCTGGACTAACACACATTTATTTTAGGCTGTATGTTAATTATGATAAACTATATAAAAAACTTATAAATAGAGAAGATGCAGTTTCTAACATGAGCTGAAAAACATAACCTTCTGGTATGTATTAAATAATCTATATTATATACAATTTACAATGAAATTAAAATAACACGTTCACTGTACAGTTGCCTTCGCAGTTGCCTGAGCTTTTATTTTATGCATACGGTGATATTTCTCAATATACAGCTTTACAAATGTGCTTATTTTTTCGGTATTGATTGAAGAAGTACCACTTCGAGAAATCTACAATGAACCAGTATACATTTACTGATACCTCTTACCTTAGTAACAGCCTTTTTCATGATTTCTTTGTAATCTTCTTTATTTATACGTCGTAGAGAGTATGCAGGTTTTAAAACTGATTTTACTTCCAAGGCGATACGTTCTTGCCACTCACGACGTGAAGAGAAGTCGTATCTTTTCCGCTTCGCTAGTACTTCCTCAATCCTCATGTCTCCAAAAGGTTTCTTACTTTCCTTTTTAGTTTCTTCACATGCACCATTAGGCAACACTTTGTTACCGATTTCGTTGTTAGAAAACGGATTAATTACTGCTGGTAGTGGAGGAGGTACGAATGAATGTGACAGAGTAGAAGTGGTTGGCGGCAGCTCATTATGTTGTTGGAATGGTAACGGTGGTGGAGGAGGAGGTGGCAATGGATCAGAAGAAGAAGTGTCTACATCCGTTCTTTGGCTACCTGCAAGTTGGTTTAAAAGAGAACTTGCAGCTGAGCTTAACAGTTTGTTGATTTGTTTCATGGGAGAGCTCTCACGAACAGAATCAGGTTTGTCATTTGGTTTAGTACTTAGATTTAAGTCGCTTAGTGTATTACAAGGTAGACCTGCCTTGCTCATTAAGGTTTCTAAGAGATTAGAAGCTGGAGCCTGCATCTGTTGCGCAAATGTAGGGGGTGGCGGTGGTGGGGGTGGAGGAGGTGGAGGCAGAGCATTAGTTTGGAAACCAGGACCCGACATTACCATAGGCAAGCTCGGCACTGATTGCATGCACTGACCGGGAGAAACTGATATGGTCCCTGGTAAGCCGATCACTGAATTCATTACATCTAGGGGGCACCTAGCTAATGGTGTGTTCCAATGGTTTACTCGTGTTTTTCGGGTTTACTGATCTGCTACGAGTGATAGGACAGTGCATATCCTTGTTGTTGTGCGTTAGTTTCAATGAGCGTTGTATTTGAAACATGTGCACACCGTCCCGTTATTTTCCCTATTTTGATACTAAGATCGCAAGTCCGAGCCCCTGAGTAGTAGGTTTTTTTGAAGCCACCTTTGGAATATGCAATTCGGGCACCAACTTCTTTTTGCATATGAAGCAGGTATGCTAAAGTTAGTTTAACGGCGAGGGACCAAAATGGAAGTCTCGTTACCCCATTTTATTATTGCATACTGAGACGCTTCAACATGTTCCTGTAATCCTATCTCAGTTTACGGAGTGATTTAGTGCTCGCTTACCATAAACTGGACGATGATTTCGGTACCAATCTGTCTCATCCTTTCTTTCCATTCAGGACTGATTATATGAGAACCCACACCAAAAATGTTCAGAAACCAAAATCAAATTGCTCATATTTTTTTATACACCCGAAAAGGACTGGATCTTCACATTACTACAAATTTACTAATATAGGTCAACTGATATCGAATCCCTACTACTGGACACTGGTTTCCCTATCTCTCATCAGCCTCGGACAGCCTAAACATAATAGTATTATTCGCTGAAATTAGCTTACACACTTTGTGTCATAACATTGGAAAAGTTCTAGTAAGTGAAGATTAATGCCAAGAGAAATAAGTCGTAAACAGCTGGTGAGAATAATAATGGGTTTGTAGTACTCTTCAGCATTGTTTTTGGCTCAAATCAAATTTATAAATGTTAAAAATCGTATGAAATATAATAAAGACCTATAAAACTTTATCCACCACAACTTCTGTGTGACGAAAATGTTATAACACCTGACCAAATAGAAAGCTTATATTCTTGTACACAGCACTAATTTACAATAGAATGGATTCGGATTTACCAATAAATATTTCATTTTACTGGGAACATAAGATGATTAATGATAGACCAACATTGAAAACCTGGAGGCACTGAACGACCGTTTCATACTAGTATGGTCTCCTCAGCAGTACGCAACCACTATATGATTTCATTAATTATTTGACGTCCCAGGACAGAGTGGGTTGGAGAATGCTGGTTGGCGGCCTATGGTCCATTGGGAGTAACAGGCGTAAGTAAGTAACTTATTTCACTCACATATTTGGGCAGATAGATATGTTTATTTCGTGAAAAGGGAAGAGTGGAACAAACTTTTTAGTATATCATATGCTCATAGGCATAGAATTTTATAAAATTCTACGTTGTCCCCAGTGTACGAAACTGAATATAATTACTATCAATAAATTTATCGTGTTTAAGCCTTCATTACCAGGAAAAACAAAATGAAGTATGTCTTTGCATTAGGAAGAACGCTCTCATAACAAACAAATGAGGTTTTCAAAAGGCAAATTTGAGAGGATGGTTTGAAGTTTGAAAAGTGCAATCTTATGACACCCGCGCTTTCAAAATTCAGCGTTACTGCACATGTGAGCTTTGCGTAAGTACTCTCTTTCGTCCGTGTTTGTTATCGAGTCTTCCTTATTTCTCCAGGATTAAAGGTCAAAAAATAGGTTTCGAGATTCACTCTGCATACTGAATGTACTTGTCATCCCTGTTGATGCGTTTGTAATGATTAGTTGATCAAATTAATTTCAAGGCTTACAATTTATTTTTATTATTCTGAAGGAAACTCCTATTTGTCTAAACACTTACTCACTATTGAGAATACTGGTCTGTGCATATTCAAACTGAAATTTTGAAGTACTTTATGAAATTGGTGGAGGACTTAAGTGTTCTCTGGTCCCTTATATATCATTAAAAACACATGATGTTCCGTACCTCATTTTCAGGGAGAGTTGCATTTAAAAAATTTAAGATAAGCCGACAGTTTTATAATATGCGCAGGTCAAATATTTTAAAAATACGAATACAAAGTTTGTAAATACCAGTCGTTAAACATTTTTTGTACTGTTGCATGAATTTTATTTTCATACACAGGTATATCGAAATAAAGTGCTTGGTTTGATATTGAATTACTATGGACACAATCCTATTGAGTGATCTTGAACGTTTCTACTTAGTACAAGGAGTTGAAGTAAGTTTATTTGCTAAACTCAACTAAACTTAGGTGGGATGTAGAATGGATGGTCGTGAACCAAGTGAATATCGACCTTTGGAAATTGAAACCAATATTTTAAGTCACGCGACTGGTTCAGCTAGTATCCGTATTGTAAGTACATCATATCCACACTGGATTTCATCATTTATAGGGTGAAACATTCATTGTTTGCTGTGTTAAAATGGAGGTTGGCAAACCTTCTTTAACTAACATTGGTGAAGGTCGTATTGAAATAAATGTTGAATGGTGAGTGTTACTAGAATTTATAAAGTACTCTCACGTATTTCGTTGGTTTAAAAATGAATAATATATCACTTTGAAGCGTATTTTTAATGTTTTGTGTCAACATATGCTTTCAATATCGCATGTGTCTCATTAACTATAACATTAAATGCATTTTTGGTTATAAAACCGACGGTTTGTACAGAATTTTCTTTTTCAGTTATCCTACAGCAACTCACCGGTGTAATGAGAAGGCAGCATCCGAACTGGAGGAACGTTTAAAGACAACATTACAATCAACCTATCAATCGAAGTTTATAGATCTAAGCCCTCTGTGTATCCAACGAGGTCGACAGTGCTGGGTCATCTATATCGATCTGCTTGTTAGTTTTCTTTATACAAAATTATGTTTCCCAGATCTTAGAAGGTGCTGGAAACTTACTTGATGCTTCCTCCCTGGTAGTCAAAGCTGCTCTACTAAACGCTACGTATGTCACTGTTGCTTTAAAATCTTAAGAAATCTTTTTAGACAGTCAAATTCTTTATTATTATCTGTTTTTCAAAACAATTCAAAGTCTCTCGAGGCAGAAGTTCACCAGTTTCGTGGAGATATGTTGCCGTTATTTGTCACAATACATAAGGTAGGTACACTTGTAAATCAGTTTTAGAATGTCTAATTATTAAACTACTGGTTATAATTAACGTTATATTCGTCATAGTGTTGATGTATTTGATGCTTTCAGTATTATACAAACTATTTTCCTGATGATCTTCATATTTTATGCATACCTCTAATTCACTAGACGTTCCACTAACAATTGACTCAGAACACTGTATACTCGTAAAAGGAAATCCGAAATGAATGTATGTTTTCACATGCCGCTTATTTCATTCCCTGTATAAGAGCTTCAACATTGCATTATGCATTTAGTGACACTTGTTCATGCTATGTCTAGTCACCTTATATTAACGTTTAATTTGAATCGGGTAGTTTAGTTACATTTTACTACCACCGTAAAAAAAACTACAATCATTTATAAACAATTGTTTACGCAAGATACTCAATGTCCGTTGATCGCATACCATCAGCAACAGCCTGTTATGGGAGAGAATAAACCAGCTCCTATCTGAAGCGGAAATTAAGAAAAGATGATAAAGGTGGACAAGACATACATTCCAAACTGCATCACGAAGAATGCGCTTACTTGGAATGCTGAAGAGACGGAAAAGAGGAAGTCCAAAGAATACACTGCATCGAGAACTGGAAGCATACATCGAAAGGATGAATGGCAAGTCCGTGAAGTCACTGACAAGTGGACTGAGCCATATTAGTAGGTTGAGGACCGCGAGATGATAGCAACCGATGGTTAGAGACCCTGAATGATATGGCTCAAAATCGTTTGCAATGGCGCAGGTGCATACACTCTTCTTCCAAATTCCTCATGTCCCTTATTTTCTTTCCAAATTTATTTCACTGGATTATACTCCTTGAGTAACATCTTCAAACCCCAATGTTTCCGATTACTGCTTATACTCTTACTACCTCTACCACTACGGAATTTGAGTCGACAACTGCCTCTCCGTGCTAATGTGGTGTGGCAACCCGAACTGATGTACGTACGTACGAAGTTCTACGTTGTTACTGACTAATGAATAGCAACTGGAAAAGAGTACTCAGGACAGAGTTAGATGGGTAGTGTTGGTGAGCGGCCTGTGTTGCTCCACGAGGGGTAACAAGCGTAAGTAAGCAGTTTAGTTATGTTGTTCATCATAACCATATCGGCTCACCCGTTAGCCGAATTTCTTGTCCAATCAGCTACAGATTAATTTACCGGACTAAGCCATGAAAAACAACCCGTCTTAATCGTTACTTCAAAAACCCTGAAGCAATGTGCTTTCACTTGATTTTCTAGATTGGAAAAACATATATCATAGATGCAAGTAAGGAGGAAGAAGCCTGTTCACTGTCCAGGTCAGATTTACGATAAATTATTCTTAACAAGTAGTTTTAGGTTATCTCTTGTTATCTATCCAGATGGTTCAATTGGTTCTTTAGAACAAGATGGGTGTTGTAGTTGTCAATTAGAATCAATTGTTGAAATGTCACAGGTAACAACAATCTTGACTAACACGCTTTATTTTTAGTTAGCAACAAGTGTCGGCAAGAAGTTGAATCACGCCCTAGTAAAGACACTAGAATTGGAAAAGCAGTTACGTTCCTAGTCAATGTGTTTGTACTAATAAATATATGTACATATGTGTAACACTAATGTCTCTTAGATGTTGAAATTATTACGTTCATCATTGTTTATATTCATCTCAAAGGTCAATAGTAAACTACACATAATTATAATCACCGTAGCTATTTCACTAGTTCAATAGAAATATTTTGACTGGTAATTATTGTCGGTTGTCTAAATTTAAGGACATCTAGGCGTTTACAAGGAAGAACTAGCAACTTCAATATCAACACGGTGAATGGGACTACTGCTACTCTATTCTTCCCCTACTTCGCTAACTACAGTAAGAAGCCTAGTTTTGTTAATGATGAACCCAGTGGAATTAAAAGCATGTTTAGGTTGATCGGTTATACATCGATTATAATCTGTGTACTGAGTAATTATCACTAAATACAAATCATAGTGGAAATACATTAATAGTCTAGAAAGTGATGTAGTGGAAACTTGGTGTAGATTAGTTTTCTTCGTGAATTACATTTAGGGACTCTATTCGTAATATAAGGATATCGTGGCGTTTACAAGGAACCTCTACCAGTCCCCTTCTTCGATATTCCCTTTCGAAAGATACTAATATTTTGGATCTCCCAACAAAAGCCAAAGGTTTCTAGATCCTAGTTATTCTGTTACTACCAGCCAGTTCTTTTATTATGAAATTAATTCCCAATTTCTCCAGCGAATACTATTCTATTTAAGAATCACAGTCAAACAAATGATTTATATCAGAAGAGGTTTCTTGTGGATATTATATTAATTTTAATAGTTGAGATCATGAGTCATCCGGACCTAGGCCAACACTGAAAACCTATTGTGGGACCCCTCATTGCTTTGAATATACTCTATCCAGACTAGTGAGTTCCTTAGCATGTTAATCTTTCACTACGTAACGACTGGAATCCATATTTTACAGAAGTCAGAGTGTCATACACCACGTCAGGAACTAAACTTCTTACTCACTATTTTTTAACCATACTCTTGTGTGCTGAGGGGAAAAACAGAACCAGGTGACGCGCTAAGAAATACACGTTTCGTCCCAGCATGGGACTCCTCAGTGGTGTGTACCCACGATTTCGCATGTGGGACTCGGACCCAGGATCTTTGGTCTTTCACACAAGCGCCTAACCTCCAGACTACTAAGAGGGGTACCCACCGATGCTTATGTTTAACCTCAACCGATCCATGGTTTCGCACAACCTTTCCTCTTCAAACAATCGATGATGGGTTGAGCAAGATCATGGATAGATTGAAGCCAGACATGGATGCCATTCTCAGTAGTCTGGAGGTTAAGCGCTTGTGTGCAAGACTAAAGATCCTGGGTTCGGCTGTATTTCTGGACCTGAAAGCGACATCAGACCATACTAAGAATGTACGCTAGATAAGTGACATGAGATCTGTTGGAAACTGGTTTATTGTGGCATTTTACCTAATGTTCATCTGGGCTTTTATTATTTATTCTTACACAACCCTAAGAAAACCATTACTTTCAGTATAGGGGATTGTTGGATTTCGTAGTTTACACTACAGGCTGGACAAACTAGACAACAAATAGAACTGCTTAGCTACAGTCAATGTGAACTACATTGTCTACCGTTTATTGCCGCGACATGTCGGTTTGTGATTCAAATTCAAAAAATTTTCGGAACTGTTATAAGCCATAGGATATTTCCTTATAGTTGGCTAAACCAACACATGTAGATATTAAAGTACTTATTTACAATATATACACTAAGATAACATAAAATTATGCCAATTGGCATTAAATCGAATCTTCGTTGAGATAGTCACTTTTGTTCCAGTGTTTAAGCCTGTCGAAATAACGCTGTCTTCGTTGATCTTCGCGCCTTCTGATAATTTGTTTCTCGCGCTCCAACCGCAACAAGTTCACCGTTTTTTCACTCCACATGCACTCATCTGATTGTGCATGACTTGGTATAACTTTAGGAGAAAGATGTTCACTGGTCAGTGTCTGAACTGCTCGACCCAACGGGTCTACTGATTCCACGACCTTCGGACCAGCCCATTCACCTTTTTCTAATTCATCTTCTGCACGGTTACGTTCTTCTACGACCATTAAAAGATTCTCCATACTCTCCTCAACCTATTTTAAAAACAGATGTAATGTAACTTAAATTGTGAAGTAAGCCCGTTCTAAACAGATATCATAAGTTAACATACTTGTATTAAACAAACTATTAAAAATGATGCTCGTTAATCCACATAAAATTAGTCATTATTTATGCAATCTATAAATAATAAGCCTAGCAAACGATCCTTTTACATCTATTTTCTCTAACCTAAATCCACTATCTCCAATCTCGATCAGAGCTTTTTGTAAACGTGAAATATCTACATTCTTTTTCAAACACTAATCTACAACTGTCGTTGCTTCAATGAAATATTTAAAGGGGAAGAATTCTAAGTAACATAGTTCGGGGTCACAGTTGACAAGTCTGACCACTTCGTCAAAGTAACGGCTACGGTGTGGGTTGGTGGTGTTTGATTACAGATGTCTTTGACGTAGTTTATCTGTATGAAGACCATTAAGATATCCGAGATTATTCACAGTTTTAGTTAGATTATGAACCAATTAATGGTGCTATGGACGTCTATTGGCTAAGATGCCTGCTACATGGGTGGAGTACTTCCAGGGGTCATCTATCCTCATATCCAATGGTGGCTAGCATAGAAGTAGCTAATAAGAATGCTACAGTTGGCACCAGTTCTTTAAAGCGAGTGACTGTTAGACTGATTTATGTTCAGAAGTGCAAACTCCCCAGTTAGAGTCTGTACAACAACCGTAGAGATCTAAATTGACTAAGGTCATACGTTCTATCCCTTAATTTCATTAATTCGTTGTGAACTATATTCTATTCAGTTTTCCCATGTCAGTAATGCTACCTTGACTCTTATGATATTCACTTTGTCAACTTACTCTACGTGTTTTCTGGACATCAACATGAGCCAATCCAAGTTTGTGCCAAGACCCACACTGTTTATGTTTAAATGACCTACTATTGTTTCCACATCAAACTACATCTTTACTGTGATCGTTTGCATGTTTTGTCAACAATCTAACCAATTTCCTCTTTAAAAACAGCCTTACTATCAAACACACACTTTCCAAATGTACGTTCTTTGTGCATATTTAGACAAAGGCACATGCAAACACGTAACAACCCATGCTGGAGTTCAAGTGATGTTCTTTTGATAAACCTCTTTAGTTATGATCGATAATGATACCATTTCCCTGTATATCCCTGGGTCAATCTCACCAACCGCTACGTCAAGACAAAGTGAATCCGGAATTCATATAGTCACTGTAGTTAGTGATGATTAACATGGGACCTGGGATAAACGTAATCCAGTTAGATGTACCACACCATATCAGTGCGGAGAGACGAAATTACTAGGAGGAACACCAAGATCTGAAATAACAGCGGTATCAGTGATATTGGAAAAGATAAAACATTGGTGAATACCTTTCGAAAGAAAATGAATTCGATGGATTAAGAGTACAAAGTAATACTAAGGCTTAAGACATAGGAAAAGGCTAAGAATTAACACATCTACATCTCAACAGTCTCCAAGCCCTGATCACTGTTATACCTCGGACCCCTACCAAATAAAATGCACCCATCAACCTTCAGGTTCTCCACTAGCACAACTGTATTTGTTAGCTCGGTCTCTATGAGTAGGATCAATAGATGTCGGCAAAATCATCAGCGATAGCGCCTGAATAGCAGATAATGAGCAAATACGACTAATATTTCGCTTCTCTATCAAAAGTAAGGTTTCAAAGTGTTTCTGTATGCGCATTATTAATAGCCGCTTCATTTAATAAATGTTTAGTTACACTAAAGAATTCCCAGCACAAAACGTAGAATATTGTAACGACATGAAAAGGCAGCACCATTTGATCAGTATTTACTTTATTCGTTTTTGGTAAATTCAGTTTTCTTAGTGCTTATAAGCGTAATAAAACAACACACTTCGTCCTAACACTCAAATATAATACGATTTAGATGTAATGTGATTTGACTCGCCAAGTACATATTCGTTTTTCTAGCTTTAAGTCACAGTATACTACCCAGCTGCGCAAACCGAAGTAAACGGAGCGTGACTCGAACATGCAACCTAATGGTTGGAAGTCGAATGTCGTAACTCTTAAGCGACAGCCATAATTTACAAGTAGCCAGTATCATTTCATTAAAGCTAACTTTATAACTTCAAACTAATTATGGTGATAAACTTCTAAAGTAAGCGCGATAACTTTATCCAATATGTATACACATTGACCTACCTTCTCAAAGCGCTCAGGATTAGGCATTTGCTCCAAACAACGGAAATGCTCTTCTTCCATAGTCATCAGCATGTTACGCTCCTTCAGAAGCACGTACCACAGTTTATGTAGATCAACATTACTCTTCAGTCGAAGCTCTTCTTTGCGCCATGGTCTTCCACTATATACAGTCGCTTCTCCCCAGTTTTTCTTATCATCAAAAAATTCACTTAAGTCTAAAAGCTTAGGGGTTGTGGAGAATTTGTGATATTGAAGAGAATTCGTCTTTAAGGATCTAAAATGGGGCTATAACAGTAGCAATAATCAAAACCTGTGTACCAATAATCTTCGAAGCATTGAAGGCCTGTTTAACCTATTTAAAACGGAATTCCAACATGAGACCAGCTTATGACAAGGTAAATTAAACCAAATATATTCGTTTAAAAATCAATTTAAGACTATATCCCGAAAGTATGAACTAATTTTTACTGAGTTTTACCAAATAAGAACTTGATGCTAACTCGAAGTTGTTACTTCGATGTACATAAAAGTATAAATATAGACGTCATTCACCATTCCTTCTTCAGGGTATTTAGGTAAAAATTTTGTGGTACAGATGATAACCAAAATGGTGGAGACAAGTTAATTAGTAGTTCACTTTGATCATGTAGATATGCCTAATTAGTCAGGGTACATGAAATTCAATCAACAGGTCATAGATACTAAGAAAACTTATTAAATTGAACAGTCATGTAACATAAATATACCAAAAAGGGTGTAATTTACAGTCTGTTAACTGGAAAACATCTGGGTTTTGTTCGCAGACGGTTAGAGACAGATGAAGCAAGAGTTATTCAGTAGTATCATAAATAACGTATTTTGATGAGAGCTCTCTCATTTATAGCGGTTTGTTCGGTCAACTTGAGTAATTTTTCACTGAAGCTAGCATGTCTACGGCTGTTTTGACCAGCTTAACTTTAAGCTTATGATATGATAATTTTAAGTAAATATATACCAGCAATGAAAACATGAGACAGGCCTACCAATGTTTCTCCTAGGTTCAATGTTAGACTGGGTTGATACTACATTCTAGAAAGTTAAATACAGGTTGGTTGGATTAATACTGATTTATTTAATGTGAATCAAACTATGCTGAATGCTTATTTATATACCAATGCGTTGGCAACTGACTCAAATGTTACATTTTCGCCTCTGCTGGCCAAAAGTGCACTCTATGCCATTTGTCAATAAAGTGGAAATCTGTAGACTAACACGATTATTAAAACCTACTGACAATTATATACAACTCAAATCATGGTAGTGTAGTGAACAATTCGATCAGTTTGATGGGATTGTCATTGGAGTAAAACCCCAATGAGATGCGTACAAATTTTTAGCTCAATTAGCTTCTAACTAACTTTAGCTGTCAAAAATAATGGCATCGATCCACACAGTCAATCAATCAATAATTTTAAGTCAGGGAACGTTCTTATCTTACCGTGTTTCACTGTTAACATATACCTTCGCGCCTCGTAAACTGATAAAGTACCACAAAGTTCAATAGTAGCTACACGATGAGACGGAAGAAATTCATGTTAAGTGGTGGATAAGTATTCGAAGATTACAACCCCTTAATGTCTTTGTCGCGAAAAACAGCGGAAACATCACATAAATGTAATAACAAACAGGACATGTGTTATTAATCCTCGCTGGATGTTTCCGTGAGTTTTAGGTGTTATCGTGGTATCTGTCAAAACCGTGTGAAATAAGCAGTTATGTTACGTTACTGAATACAAATTTACTTTTTATAGACAACACGCCGGTCAAAGTGATTCTTTTGACACATCACGACTAAATTGTAATATAACATTATCAGAGTGACGATCGCTTGATGAATAACAGCTGAGATATGGTTTTTGTGATGAAATATTTCATTTTGAAGCTTCGTGTCAGAGTTGGGCTGAACTGCGTCATCTGTGTTAACCGAAGTTATCATCAATTTCAGACAGGAACACAATTACATTTGAAGATGCTACAAGTATTTGGAGTTTAACAACACCCTAACCAGTAACATCAATAATCGAAATGTGTCAACCCAGCCAAATCAGAGGTCAGAAGCAAAGAGGTCTGATGACATATTTGATAGAATATCGATATATTGAGAAGTGACTAATCTAAACAGGCTAGAGGTCGTAGGAGATGTGAAGCACAGCGTACCCACTCGTGATCTGGTATGGATGAGTAATCGAGCGCTCTTAGCTCGGTGAGTCCATTTGAGCCGATGCAACCGGCAACAAACGTTGAAGACTTGCAGAGGTACTGATTTCGAGGATCTATTTACCACTACATACTGTTGAACAAATACTCACAGTATGATACTTGTATGAAGTCGGGTTTATAACTGACCTCGTCAACCTCGTCAACACTGCTAGTTAACAGTATTCGGTCAAATATTATCGCCATATCTCACAACAAATAATGCAAGATACCACTTTTAGTTAGTGTTTATACTGGTGTGCCGTTCGTATGTAACGATTACCAATTGCATCTGCATTAGTAGGTCAATTAAAGGAACAGAACTATAACTAATATTCCAGCTCGTTTGTCAAGTTTAATATGGTTCATTTGGTTGCAGGGAGATTTTCCTCTACTTAATTATTATTTAACCGTGATAGGATTTAATAAAAATACTAATGCATTTGAATGGTTACCAAAAATTCTTTTGCGTGAAAGTACAGACTATGGGAATTTCGGACAGACAGCTGACAATAAATCGTTAAATATGATTGGGTCCACGAGAGACATGTTCTGAACTAAGTGATTTAGTGTACAGCAAGCCGATTATTTGTATGCATATTTACCGGCTGAAGGTGAATACATGTCAATCGCGAGTATGAGGTTTAGCATAAGGCAAGAAACGACTTATGTCAAATATAGTGACTAAAAAACTGCTGAAATCTACAAAGCCTATTTGCCGCAATGCTTCCGGCTAAATAAATTTTACAAGATGATAAAGAGTGAGTGACGCCCGTATGCTTAACAGGGAGAGCATAAGCTGCAACAAAAGGGAGTACGACTCCCAACTTATGTCTACAATAATGGTATGGAGCTTTGTCATTAATGGAGTAAATTCCAAAGTGATGTAGTATGTTGTCGTATATAGATATTGAATATATCTTACGGCACAAACGTTTTGGGAGTAGTTCGTATGAGATATATACGGCTAATATAAGTGAAAATACACACATTTTAAGTACTGAAGATGGCATAGGTATTCAGTGTTTGACAACGCTTTTACCAGCAACACCTTCTAATATAATTTGTACCCACCGAGAGAAATCAAAAGACAGAGTCGAGGAGATCGGAAGAGCGTATTTAGCGATTACCAATATGTCGGAATTCCCTGATCTAATCTGGCTAGCGATTGCGGTAGATGTTGAGCACAGCGTTACCACACGTGATCTGGTGCGGATACATGACCGAGCGCCTTCAGCTAGATGAGTCCACTAAAGCATATGGTTAGCATCCAATGTCGAAAACTTACAGAGCTATTTATTTTGAGGATTTAGTTACCGCTACAGTACAAAAACAGAAAATTATCCAGCAAAGTTTAGATTGTCTGATGGATTCGACGCACAGAAAACCACTTGCGACAAATGGCGAAGACCAAAAAATCAACCAATTTAAGCATGCAGTAGGGTTACTAATTCCAGGGCGCTTAAAGCTGTTGACATTTTGTCATTTGATTGATTCAGCACAAATTCAACATTCCATATAATCATGTGGCTGTTAATGTATGAACCATCTGAAATGAAGTAAAGATTGCAGAAATTTCATAGCTTAGTCTCACCATCCAGCTCAGAGAACAAAACTCCACCTTAGTCTCACCATAAGTTTCTGGAATGTTGACTTCGTCGTTTCTCAATGGAACTCGAAAAATATAAATTAGTCGAAATAAAAGATGGTACGGGATAGCCAACAATTTTAAATAAAGTGAAATACTAAGTGAAGAAACAAGATGAAGAATTAGACCCTTGCATACATTGCTAGCCGGTGTTTATTTATCGAAGGCCTTATTTGCTAGTTCTTGATGTTTTAACAAACCTATTTCACTGAAGCGTGTAAATGCTATTGAAGTTTGTTAATGAAGCATCATAGCCAAACGTAAATATAGTTAATCACTTGTTTGCATCGATCAAGGTAGTTAGCCGCGTACTAATCATTATTACAATGTGATAGTACGTGTGAGCATTAATCAAAGGACTGATAGAATAATGAGTAGGAAATAAGTATTTTTGTTTTGTCTGTGGTTCTAACTAGAACGAACTCTATTTAGGGCAACTAATTTGACAGCTAAATTAGTACAAACAGATGCCTGTGGCAAAATGACCATGGTTGGGCTATCGTAAAGTAAGTTCAAAGAGCATCAAAACAACGTAATATAACGTATTAATATGCTAGGTCAACGTGTTATCTGACATCGGATAAAAAGACCTGAAAAACGCAACCACAGTATTTAAAATTTGATATATGACTTATGGCACTACAGTTAAGAACATAATGGAAATAATACAGACCTTTGGAAAGAGGTTGATGTAGTTATCTCAGTGACATTTGTAAATTTGTGGTAGCGATAGTCAGAACTAAGAAGCATCAGAATAATGTGCAGTCAGATATGTTTTACTTGAGAACAACGCACTTTATCTTGGTAGTATGTTATCTCACGTATAGATTAAATATATCTGTTATATAAATATATATACGGCTCCTTACGGTCTAGTGGAATGTCACGAACCAATGGTATCGATGTTGATTTATTATGCAAAATACCTCATTAAATTGTGTTTAGAACGCTGAATTGGTTTCATTTCCTACTGATTAATCCTATTACAAGCGAACTAGACAATGCGCTAAAAACGATATCTGCTCAAAACACTATAAAGTCTGCAAAAATGGGCTCAAATAACTTGGACAAGAAAGGGAGACAGTCATCTGTGTATCAGAATACTGTTTTCACCACTATATTTTATAACTACACATAATCCCATACTGAGTAGTCATACCTTAACTATTCTTTCATGAACGTTGTCTGCTCTGCTTCTCGTCTTTCCTTTTTCTTGCACCCTTTAATAGCCCCCTCCAGACATACCACCGAAAACAGATATGAAACCGGTGACTTCGTCCTGCACCATCATCAAAGCCTTAGACATTCTAGAGGGATATAAGATTACGAATTTCTAGAAGCCCCAAACTTGACATGCATCTATTCTCAACCATCAAGCCTTCATAAAGCGCGCCAACTGTGATGTTGAAAATACGATTCTCACTTAAACCATCTTCATTCACATCTCATAAAATATTAACGCAGCTGAGTAATTTGCTACAGTAAAAATGGTGTCTTTTGTAACAATTTGATGTTGTCTGTAAACTGGCATTCCTCATGTAACAAGCCGATATTTGAGAATAAATTATTATTAATTATCACTCGATGCTTCCTCCTTCCCAAGTATATACGTACTCAAATCTTATTAGTAGTCCTTGCTTAACCTTACTGCACCCTTATGCTATTTGACTATGAGTTTGCCTATGCGATTATCCTCATATATTAATTCACCCCTCCGATTCAACTATGTTTAATATGCCTATAGCTTTGAGATCTGCGCCGTCCTCTAGTAAACTGTAGTTGTCGCTTCTCTTTGCCTTTCGATTTCAAAAACCGTTGAGATTTATATTATAACTGTCATCCATGTGGTTGATTAACGAAGCAAAGATACTACAGAATCGGTAACCCCGACGTACGAACATGGAATACTTTTCAACGATATAATCTGATTTCGAAATCTCAAAGCGCTCTGTCTCAATTCGGATTATCATTTGGATTATGATCATAGTTGCAGATGTATTATATCACTCTTTTAGTAACAAGTATATTACCTCACAAACATAATTAGACGTAACGACAATACTCATGATAAATAATGATATTTCACGAACAATTTATACATTGGTCCAATTTAGTAAGTCTGTTCTATGTTGTAAATTGTACCGTTTCTTATTATAATTGTTTTTGTGGCTCCATTTCTATTTGTGACATTTACACTGTATACTAAATTTTATGAATATGTCTTCAAATAACAATACGATAGACCCTTCACAAACGCCGTCCGTGAGATCTATTATTGTCTTTTACAGTCACTGACCCGCAACTTTGATTAATTAAACTTGAATATTATTTTGTAACCAACCGTATTCACTCACAGAGAGCTCACTGCTTCTGGACGAAGAAGCAGACAATGTGCGAGAGGTGTTAGCTAAGCTGGACACGGAAAAACCATAGGAGGTCTTGAAGCAGGCAGTGATAAATGCTATCTTATTAAACGTCTGGCAAGTCGTCGAGCAGTTGCTCTGTCAAGTGCGAACCGGACATATGACTTCATCACAGTTAAAAATTATATTAGCAGCATGACCGGATACAGAAAGGTAGATAGGAATATATTTTATCAGTTGTGGCTGCGACGACTCCCACTGAGTGAGCAACAGATCCTTACAGTAAGGAATAGTAATGCAAACATAGATAACATAGCTAAAATAACCAATAGGATATATGAGAGAACAATGCACACGAGTCCAA